TATTTATTTTAATTTTTATAGTTAAAAATTCAACAATAATAGTTAAATTTCATTTTTAAAAAATAATAATAAAACATTGATATAAAATAGCGAACGAAGAGTTGGTTCAGTGGTAACACCACCCTTGCTCCAAGAGGAGATTATAAGTTCAATTCCCCACTCCAACAAAAAGTGAGGGGTTGGCTCTCGCATTGCTTATTGACACCTCTAGGGGCTTGTTATGGCTAACATATTAATGAACCCCCGATTTCGCACCCAAGCTTGTCACCCCGGGCATGCCTAGGGTGGTTTACCTCCCACTGTGGTTTACAGGCTATTGCAGTGGGCGTGGATTTACCCATCTCTGGTGGAGTTCCCGGAGTTATCAAAATAAAAATAAAATAAAATAAGAATATGAAAATTGTCTACATTGAAAATATGTGATCATGGTATATGTATTAATATAAATTATATAATTTACAAAACATAATTGGATTGTGTCACAGTAATTGTCACAGAAGATCCTGTGCTGATGGATGATGATGCAAGAGTAGGGTTCCGCAGTTGGTGTTTTTACAACATCGCTAACTATGACATGAGTTAATGTAAGGACGTTACTTAATTATTAAACCTACATTTTATTCTGATTTTTAAAAAGATGGCTGAAACTTATGTCTTTTTACCATTTTAATAAAGCATTTGCCAATATCTTTTCGCTTAACATTGGTAATTAGCTCGACCAAAAACGCTGTATTAGATTTCCATCAGCGAAAATTAGCTAAATGTTTTTAAGTGATAAAGATGGTGCTATCAGCAGCCCTTTTAGGCTCAGTAAACAGTGTAATTTCCCTACTACTTGACAAAAGAATAGAAGAAAGCAATTAGTACAAAAGTATACATTTTCTATTATTGGAAGAATTAAACAATAAACCTATAGTATATAAATTATTATTGTAGTCATTGAATACAACATTTCCCAGAGTAATTATTGGACAAAAAGGTTGCTTGTTTCCTCTGCTTGGGGTAATTGACCATATCCAGACATTGCAATTTGCAAGCAAAGCCTGTTCCCCCGATTCCCTAGTAGTCCCTAATCCAAAGTCCATATTGGAATTTCGTTGGCATACTGGTGGATTCCGCCAGCTTGACCGATATTTCATCCGCCCATCTCCTTCTGTCGACACAAAATAAGAATCGTACTCCCTATGTCCCATAATTTATTGTTCAATTTGAATTTTTTATTTTTAGTTTAAAAATCTCAAACTAAATAATAATTTTAGGATAGATAGATTACTTATTAAACAAAAACATTACTAGCAAATTAACATGGCTATTACATTGGAATGAATAGAGTATTATAAGAAGTTTTGAAGGGTTTCCTTTTTTCTTCTTAGAATTCCGTCACTGCCTAGCTAGATTCAATCTAGTTAGACGAAATTTAACAAAATACCTATCTTTAAGTTGCTGAGGTTGGAAAATGAGGCATAGCATGATGTAATGATATGCGTTTTCTTTCTTTTTTTATTATATTACCGTTTTGGTGTTCAACCTTACTGGCCATACAAGAAATGTCAATCAGTGTTGATGAAAAATCTAATCGTAATTATAATAGCTCACCTTCGATTTAACTTAAGAGTAAGTTAAAGATCACTCGGAAGTTCTTTGTTCAAAGTTCAAAGGAGGACAAAGAGGGTTGGTCTGATTTTGAAGCGATAGTCAACCAAAAAGAAAACTAAAATGGATATCAATTTAGATTGTTTCAGGGTGAGGGACAAACTAAATCGAAAAACCATATATAGCATCCTTCAAATGCAAATTTTTGTATCTCTCGCTTGTTTAGACCGATGATACGTAGAGTATCCTTTTGTGATTTCTAATTTTGTATAGCTGTATTATGAGGTTACACAAACTTCAATAATGTCATGAAGACACATGACGAAGTCAAGGGATATATAAGACGTCGGCGTGTTCACAATTCCACTTAATTTCTCTAATAATACTGTTATAACTGGCATAATTTTAGTTTGAACTAAAAGTAAAAATTCAAACTGGACATAATTCTGAGACGAAAGGAGTATAAAAATTTGTTTCTCAAAACACATATCGCATTTTATTTTATTTTTTTGATAACCCATATCGCGTTTATCAGTTCATAATCAATTGTTCTTAGGCTACGAATAATACTGTCACGAGCATTTTGGGCTATGACTCTCCATTTACGATTAATACTACACAATTTACACTCAAATTATCGACCTGCGCCACTAACCTTTAAAAACCCTCGCTTCCATGCAAGATTCAAACATTGAAAAAGACTCAACAGCTCCGCCCCATTACCGAACAATAGCCATTGTTCATCAGACATCCACCTTGCCAGTTGCCAGTATGGTCGGAATCAGGCCACCAGCAAAATCCTAAACCCGTTTTCCCCCTGATTCCTGACATTGATACGTACAATAATTCCTCATATATTTTGTAATAGTGACGCATTTGATCTTTTATGTCTATACGCGTGAAAAAAAATTAATTCTTTCTTTCCTACTGACTATTAGTGTCATAGTAGTGCAGTACTTCATGTATCCCAAGAAATGTTCATATTTATTTAACAAAACTAGAGTTTTTTAAAGAAAAAATAAATAAAATAAAACATTAGTCGGGAAGAAGGGTATATAGAGTACTATCAACCGATGTTCCAGACCCTGACACAAACATTAATGCACCCTTTTTTTGTAATCAAAAAATAATAATAATAATAATAATGCACCCTTTTTTTGCCGTTAAAGCGCGCACCACACTTTCAGTAGTTTTCTAGCTCTATGTTTTATAATGTCAGAAAATCAACCAAAAATAAGTATATCCATGTCAATTATAACTGCTTACAAGCCAAACCATCAAATCTTAGGTGATAGACTCGAATTGCAAAATCGGAAAAATCACATGAGAGGTAAACGATCAAATTTCAGATGACGTGTTTGGTCGCGAAATCTGATAATCACATTAAAAGTAAATTATTGAATCTATGGTTACATGTTCAGCCAAAAAAAACAAAAAAACAGGAATTCACGTATAATTTGGTAAACCTTTTAGAAATATCTATGGGTAGAGGGGAAAAAACCCCTCACTCCATGTCGGCATCAAATTTAACTCAAAGTTTCCTCTATAGAACAAGACGATGTTACCAATGAACTAATACCGCATCTTCTTCTATGTTGAAATGAATGTTTGTGCTGAAGCCAAAAAGAAATAATTAGTGCAACTGTTTATGATATTGAGCATTTCATATGTTTTGAAATAATAATTCTATTTAGAAACTTTTTCTTCATTTAAGAAGAATGTTAAAAGTTTTTCTTAACTACGACCTAGCTATATTAAAAAATTAATCTTGGTAATTTCCAAAATATATTTGTGATTCATTATATATGTTTGTATGCGCGTGTGTGCGTGAGCGTGCGCATATATATATATATATATATATATATATATATATATATATATGTGTGTGTGTGTGTATTTAAAGGAATAAATAGGAGATATAATTTTTTTTAATTAAAAAAAAACCCACGGCAGAATATTGCATTTGAAAATTGCAATAATGAGTTATAAAATTTACATTATTAAATAAAAAAAGAAATTATTTTTATAAATGAGTAAGAAATGAGAGTGAAACTTTGTAACGTGAAAAAGAACTATGATTTGAACCATAACTATGTTTTAAAGGAACAAGAAAACACCAGGCCAAATTAACAAAATACCCATGTCAAAACTCCAAATTAAAAGATTATTATAAAGAAAAACTTAAGCCGATCGGTTCAGATTTTAAATATACATACTTTTTTTTGGTTTTCTTCTTCTTTCTCCTTTTATTTGAAACTTCAATGTGTGGCCACTAAATATAATAGTGAACCTTTTTTTCTTTTTTCTTTTTTTTTTTGGGAATCCTAAATTCCTCAATTAGTGAATTTACTGGCCGAAGGATTTAAAACTATCTTGTGTTTCAAACTATTCATTTTTTTGTTTTCAGTTTACATCAGTAACTTTGTCTTTTCATACCCACTTTCATGAACAGAGAGAACACATCTAACAAAATTATTAAACAAATTAATTAGATGCGCACTCAAAATAACACTGGACTTAAAAACATGATTCGCCTGATTTTACCGAGAATTTCACTTGAGGATAATCAATTCGCGGGAAACAAAACACTGATTAAACAGATAAGAATATAAGATACTCTCTCCGTCCCAAAATTATTACCCAGTTTGGATTTTTATTTTTAATTCAAATTGTATTAAAAGTAAAATTTCAAACTGAAAAATAATTTTAGAATAGAGGGAGTACTTGTTTGGGAGCAGAGATTGTACCCAAAAAATAACGAAATGTTATCCTGAATATTGAAGAAGATTTTTAGCTAGTTGAATTTATGAATGTTCATAGAGCCAGATTGATCATTGATTCCTCTCCAATACAATTTAGCCACAAGAGCTACTCACATCCTCAAATTTGGAGAAGGAATGAGCATACATGAACTTCTATAATTTTGTATTCTTACCATTTCACTCGAGCCCTCATTTGAATGCGAAATATTAAATACTTTAAACAATTCAATCGATCCCAATATTAAACACCAATACAAAAACCAAAATAAGCAACCAATCACTTTCTTATGTCTGCTATATCATCAATTTACTACTGTGTCATCTCATTCTACTTTCTCTATCATTAATCTTTAACATAATTTCTTCATAAAGAAATCAATAAACTAATAATTTATGACCTAAAAAAAAGATAAGAGAGAGGGTACGTAGTCCAAGTTAGTATTAAAGAAAGGCGATTTATACGGAGGAACTTTAATCCACATTTTGACTTAAATTACGTGCATTATTTCGAGCTTAGTGCGGTTCATATTTGCCTATAAAAAGGAGTACTAAAAACATAATCCGGAAACAACCAAATTAGGACTTGAAAACACACTTTTTTTCCCATTTAGGCCTAGAGTTTGTTAATTTCTCTCTTACCACCGAATGGCACTAGAAACTGTAGTCTATCAACAAGATCTGTTTTCTTCTTACACCAGAGAACCATTTGTTGATTTGTTCGACGGCGGCGACAGTGGTGGTGGTGGTGGTGGTGGCGGGTACTTGCCGGAGGAGGGTTGCGATTTCGATGAACTCGCCACGAAATTCGACGAGTTTTTCCCCGAAAATTCTCTATCTCCATCCCAACAATGTAGTAGTCCAAATGCATCAATATCCGACCTTCAAATCCCTGACCATCTAGAAATCTTCCATGACCTAGATCAAGTACTACTACCTCATCATCAGCCCCAACAGGACAAAAACTACAACTTTAATCTCGACGTTTCGCCCCGGTTCAAGCGACGTCGTTCCAGGCCAAAAAAGAACCAGGAAGAGATCGAACGCCAAAGGATGGCTCACATTGCAGTGGAAAGAAACCGTAGGAAACAAATGAACCAATATCTCTCCGTCCTCCGTGGCCTAATGCCTAGTGGCTATGCTCAAAAGGTATCCTATCTTTCTTTCTTTCTTTGTCTCTTTCCTTCTAAAAAGAAAACGGAATTTTCTCACACATGGTGTACTACTACTAGTCTACTAGCTACTACAAACACCATGTTTTGATATGAAGTTTAATATTCGCGACATATAATCCAGATAACCTGTTTTCTGACTGTAGGGTGATCAAGCATCCATAGTAGGTGGGGCGATTAACTATGTGAAAGAACTTGAGCAACAATTGCAGTTTCTTGATGGGCTAAATCATGCTAAAAATCAAGAGGGTTCGCCGGGATCGGATTCGATTTCTTCTTCATCAGTACCCTTCACTGAATTCTTCAACTATCCACAGTACTCAACAAATATTTCGACCTGCTCATCGGGGAATAGCAGCTATGATGATGGGAATCATCATCATCATCATCATCATCATCGTCATGATCAATCATCAAATGGTGGAAATAATTTCAATAGTAATAAGCCCTTTGCAGTTGCTGATATCGAAGTTACAATGGTGGAAAATAGCCATGCCAACCTCAAAATAAGGTCTAAAAAACGGCCTAAACAGCTTTTGAGATTGGTTTCTGGACTTCAATCCATGAGGCTCACTATTCTCCATCTCAATGTCACAACTGCAAATCAAACTGTGCTCTATTCTCTCAGTCTCAAGGTAAAAAAAAAAAAAAAAAAAAAGAAAAACTTTCATTTAGAACCCACCTCGTTTTTCTCATTCTCTATGAACCAAAATCGCGTAAAACGATCTCATTTTACTATATGATGATGATAGATACATGAAGAAGAAGATGTTTGGTTGTTATTTATTTATTTTGATTTTGGAATTTCGTGTAGGTTGAGGATGATTGCGCATCCAATTCTGCTGATGAAATTGCAGCAACTGTGAATCAAATTTTTTTAAGGATTCAGCAGGAAACCGCCGGCTCCACACTGGATCATTAATGGGCTAGCTCCAATTTTTTTTTATTGATATTATTGATGATTTATTTATTCATCCTATGTGCTATAGAATTAGCTGTTTAGCTTTTTGTTTAGAGTTTTTTTCCTTTTTTTTTTTAATTGCGGTTGAGTAATTTCACCATTTTCTTATTTTTCCCTTTTAGTTTCCATGAATAATGGAAAATACAATCTCAAGTGTAATATTTTCCGTAATGACAACTTTTGATGAACATTATAGTAGTGTCAGATGTAGCAACTTTATGGACAGATGAATGTTACCAAAATATAGTATTAAATAGTTATTCTTGAGTGACATGTGTTATGCAAATTAATTTTCAGTTTACTTTTTCTTTTATAAAAAGTTACGCTAACTCTCTCACGGCTCATTGAAGATGGAAGAGATTATGAAAGTTTAGAGAAAAAAGATTATATATGAATTTCCATCTTTAAGTTCATTGAAGAAAAACATATAAATGAAAGGAAATTTCTTATGTGAAACCAACCACAACATTGTTACCTTGGTATGATATAGAACAACCAAAAAAAAAATGGAAAGGAAAACTAACTCAAGTAGGTCGTTTTTGAAAGCTAATAAGAGTCTGCAAAAACAGCTAGCTGCTCAACTGTTGCTACCTATGGTTCTCGACGTGGTTTTTTGATTGTTTTTAATCGTTAAAAATAAATACGTACCCATAGTATTTACATCTTTTAATCTTTGAATATGAAATACGATTCGATTTGTTAAAAATGAAATGCAAACCTCTATTCCGATAACGGCGATGGACGAAGATGCACAACTCTTTAGAGAGCTTTGGTGCACTATAAAATTCAAGAACACACATGGTGGTGCAATGAAATGTCAGAGATTTGCTTCTTTTTTGCACTAAAACAAAACTAGTATAAAAATGGAACTATGGAAGTGATGCCTTTTGTTTTTTACATGTGAATCCAAATCAAAATCACGTAAAGAAGATAAATCATGTCCCACGGGTTAATAAAAAGAAAGGGGGGGTTGGCCCTCCAAATTCCATTCCCTTTTGATTAACAAAAGTGAAAATATAATGTTGGGGGTGGTACGTACTTGGTAGGTTCCATTTGCCTTTTGGGAGAGAACAGAATTAAATTGAAAAGATGATTCGATGAGACATGTCACACCACTAGAAGCCCCCCATGATTTGAAAGCTACAAAATCCACGTATTGCATAATCTTTATCACTATATTTGTTTAATTAAGCACATCATATGTATGATTATTACAAAAGAAAAAAAAATTATGCCGTACATATTTGATATATCACGTAAGATAGTACAACTCGATACATTTACAGTGGTTAGAGTCGTTAAATAAGTTTTCAATCGAGTGTTGATGTATACAGAGAAAATAAAATAATGCAAAAGTTTTTTAATCTTTATTATCTTTTAAGCTACATTTAAAAAAAAAAAAAAAAAAAGGATGCGCTGAACAAATTTTAGTGAACATTATATAAAGCTGTCTAATCTTTTTCGTTTGGGTATTAATCAAGTCCTTTTTGTTGGTCTTAGAAAAGTTCTTAATATTATCAAATACACCTACATTATATGACTGTGGATGTTGCTGTGATTCGCTTTATGCGGCCATGCAACGAATAAAAAAGTTTCAAACTTTATTATAACAATATTATGAAATTCTCCTTTCTCCTAGTAGTGTGTTTATTAAATTGTGTAGAGTAGCTTTTATTCACAGCTGATGGACAAATCAAGTTTTTGAACCTAGCACGTCGACTCGTTAATTGTTTGCTAATATTTTTTGGGTCCCATTTTAATAATTTATTTTATAAATCAAAACTATATATTAAAAAAACATTGTACTATTAAAATGAGACATGGAGGACATGCATTGTAATTATGAACTGAAACAAATATCAAAGTTCTCATAACCACTAAAAGGGTTCATCAAATCGAAATACTATCACAGATTTATCAATTCATAACAACAGATTAACTGTCTCACGAGCAGAAATTCGCTTCAGTTTAGGGCACATTTTCATCTCGCAAAACTCGCTTCAATAATTTTATCATAGAGCACATTTTGGCCTTTCCCCTAACCCAGAAAAAAAATAAAATAGACGTTTCTTTCTACGCAAAAGTTTATCTTCCTTTTTGCTTTCCAGTGCTTCAAAAACTCGTCAAAATTGGACATTAGCGCTCCGTATATGTTTGTTTTTGTAAATACGACGGCAACTAACAAGACAATCATTCATTTGGTAATTTCTTCACTTTAACCTTAACTTTGTTTAAATCCCACCTAATTGGAAGGAACATCAAATATGTTCGATTCGTAGTCTTTCAATTATTCCAAAACCCTTAAAGTTCTCTCTTTTTATTATTAAAATTAAGCATATATATCATATGAACTCCGACAGGGAATAGTGCTAAAACAATTCCATAAATTATTAAATTATTAAAATGAGAGCGAAAGAACAATTTGACATTTTTGTTGCAACTTGTTCTTTAAGTTAGCTAGCTTGCGTGAGTTGGTCTTTTTGTTGCTCGAATTAAAAAGTTCTATATAATGTCCTAATAATTTTCCTTGTGATTGTCACCTTTGAAATTATACCAAATGAGTGTCCAAAGGGAATATTGTTATTCTCGACCCAGTATTTTCATACTTGATCTTTGACAGGTATAAGCGTAAGAGACATTCGATTTTCTAGTACTTAATGTCAATGCTTAATACAAATGAGGCTCATGCTTGGAATCAATATTCTCAGAGTTCCATTTCAGTAGTTTGTTTTGTTGAATACTGATACTGTTTCTTATGATAGAGTTTTACTTTTTCAAAAACAAAGCAAAATGAAGTTTTTTTTTTAATATATATACGAAGGAAGCCAATGGCTTATGAATAACAACTCATCCCTCCGCGAGCGGAATGTATATTTTTTATCTAACTCTAGACTTCTCATAATTTCATATGAAGGCATTGACAAAATGTGATTTCCTACCGGACATAATAGACCGAATTTCGATAAGACATCTGCGACCACATTATTTTCACGGACGGTATGCCTAATCGAAATTTGCCAATTTGCCAATTGAGATGAAGGAGTCCTTTGACCCCGTACAGCACATTGCTATTCACAAACGTAGAGAACTCGTTTGTCAAAAATTCAACAGCCTCAAGTTAGTCTAATTCTAAATGTACCTTTTTAAAGCCTAGGTCCAAGCAATCTCCCAAGCAAAACGAAGTTGCCCCGACTTCCTGATTCTTCGGTGACTGTGGACAGTTTTCGAAGTTTACACTTTGGGCTTATTTTCCGAGACAAAAGAGGAATGGGTGCTGCTGGGCTTTTAATCCTATTTTCTCTATTTATTGGGCTGTAATTTATTGAGCAACTGGGTATATACTTGCAATGGAGATTTCTCTTGTTTAATAAAAATAACTTCTCTGATTTCGTGTTTTTCTTTTTTTTTTTTGGACAAAATGCATTTTTCGTCCCTCAACTTTTGGGAGTAGCAAGATTGAGTCACCATAAATTTTTAATTGGTAAAAATAGTCCCCTAAAATATTTTTGTCATTAAATTTAGTCAATTTAACAGAATTTTTAAAGACTTAACGGTCAAACTTTTGTTTCCGTTAAGTATTTAATTTTTTTATTACTTTCAATATGATGGTGAGGTCCATTTCTTTTGACCCAACAATTTTTTTTTTACATCTCTTTTTATTAAGATTTAATGTTATTAATTAAAAAATTTTATAAAAAAATCAAAAAAATCAACAAAGGCGGCTCACCACCCCGCCGCCACCCTAAAAATTTAAACCAAAAAAATAGTGTGTTTAGGGTTTAGGGCGATGTAACCATTTTTCATGTCGGTTAAGATCTAGTTGTTTAAGGTTTAGGGTTCAAGGGGGTTTAAGCATTTCTGTGTCGGTTAGGGTCTAGTTATTTAGGGTTTAGGGTTTAGTGGGTTTAAGCATTTTTGTGTCGGTTAGGGCCTGATTTGTGACGTATCACGATTAACCTTTTGAAATTTTTTTAAACCAATTAGGCTGGGGCCACGTGACCCTAGCCTAATTGGTTTCAAAAAATTTAAACCAAAAAAAATAAAAAAATATTAGTGGGTTTAAGCATTTCCGTGTCAATTAGGGTCTAATTGTTTAGGGTTTAGACTTTAGGGAGTTTAAGCATTTCCGTGTTAGTTAGGGCCTAGTTTGGTCTTTTGGCCATTGATTTTTAGTTTTTGCTCCTCATACACACCCGCTATTTATTCTGGTATTTGGTCTTTGATCTCTCGGTTTTTGGTCTTTGGCCTTTTGTCTTTGGTCTTTATTTTTCACATACGGTCGCTCTTCACTCTAGTTTTTGGTCTTTCATTTTTTAGTCTTCAGTGTTTGGTCTTTGGTCTTTGATCCTCTCACAAGCTCGCTCTTCACTTTGATCTTTAGTCTTTGGTTTTTTGTCTTTGCTCTTTGGTTTTCGTTTTTTAGTTTTTGGCCTTTGGTCTTTGGTGTTTGCTCTAGGTCTTGGTCCTAAAAGACACAAATAAGACCATAGCCTCTTTTAGAAAGACCAAGACAATTGTATAAATTTTTTAAAGTTTCGAAAAACATATTCATGATAGATCTTTTTGGATGGATCTCATTGAATACTATCAAAATGATATAAGACACTTGGTCTAGTTTATTACGGATTAAAAAATAAAATCATTTAAAAATAAAAGAAATTTTGAAAACCTACTTCCTAAAATTAAGGAAGAGTGGTACGTGTGTTTCGCCTAACTCATAAAGACTTGCATGTTTAGCCCCCCTTTCCTATACTAATTGCCAAATAAGAGTCTATGTGTACCTAATTACATGCACTTAATGTGCATGGTATAATTTTTGCAAAATTTGTCTTCTCTAATTAGATATAGAGACATATAGTGCTAATCGATTGTCGCCATATGTATGCATGTTTTGAGTTTTGAGGTTTTTTTTTTTTTTTTTTTGGTATAGTACACACTCGGTCATTGCTCTGACTAATTCGAATTCGAGTTAGGTTAAGTCTCTTTAGGGAGGCAAAACTCTCTTAACAAGTATTTAGAATTTTAGATAGGTTTATTTTGAAGACCCTAAAGTTAAACCACAAAAAATAAATTAAAAAGAAAATCAGAAAAGTTTGGGACAAATCCCGAAGTGGGATTAGTGGGATCAATTTTTGTCAGTGGGTCTTAAATCTTAATCGGCGAATATTTGTGGGGTTTGGGATAAATAATGTTCTAAATTGTCTGTAGTTTATTTAGGAATTGGAACTGTATATCTTTCAGAGGTAAAATGTTATTCCTG